AGTTACGCTCAACAGAGCCTTTTGGCATCTGACTCGCGCGGATGTGTACGCCATTGACATCGAAGGTAGCGTCGGGTATCTCACCATCGACGTGGCGGGCTTGAAGATGAAAATGGGCATTGATACGATCGATGATGTCAATGTTAGTCGGGCAGCCGTCTGCTGCGTAGAAGGCGAGATATCTGACAGCCTGGCGCCTTCTTGCGGCCTCGATAGCCTGATTTGCGGTTCTTAGATGGGTTTGGCGGTGGTTTAGCGCAGAAAGACTGTTCGGCAGACGAGCTATGCCATGACTGTCTCTGGGTCCCACATGCTTGCCGATGGTATCCAAGGGCTTTACGCGCTTACTTGTATTCGCCTGTGGTTTGATGGTAGCATGGCGCTGATTCAGCAGCTGTTCCGCTGCACGCATGCCCTCTATGGCCGCCTTGAGTCTATCAGTACGAGCATCAGAACTGATGTTGGTATCGTCGACGGTGGCGGGGCGGGAGGTCGTCCGAAGTACATGGCTATCATCGGTACAATTTTGGTTGTCGGATCTGAGATCATTTTCCGCTGGGCTCTCGATGGTAGGCCTGGCGTTATTGATCGAGAACTTCGCAAGTGGTGTGATATGTGTGACGTCGATTTGACTTTCATCGGGGACTGATATCGCGGAATGCGCGTCGCCAAGCGGCGTCAACGGGCTTGTAGGTGGAGTGCTTGAGGGAACTATGAGGGATAGTGTAGTAGCATCGGACTCGAAAATTGTGTTATCCGCCGTCGAAAGTGGTGACGGAGTGGGAGATGTTTGCTTCTCGAAAGTTAGTACATCTTCTCTCAGGTCTCATCTACAGCACTGACCTTTTTTTGCTTAGGCGACTGGAATCTATAGAGCCTCTTGGGAGCGGAAGTAGGTGTAGCCGGCGCAGAAGGCAAGGGAGAGACATGGTCTCGACGGCGATGATTGCCGAAGACCTTCTGGAACCCAGCGATAAGACGTGTAGATTCCTTGCGCTTGTCGTCCGGATTTTGAGTAATGCTATTGCTGCTTATGCCAGCGCTGACACCGGCGTCGTTGCTCGTACTGTTTTTGGGCTCTGATCTGGCGCGGTCGCCATCGTGGCTGCGGCGGAATGACTTCCCAGACAAGAAGCTTTTGAAACCAACCATGGTTAGTGCTGTCGAAGTTTTGAACAGATGAACTTTCAAGTGATCGTCGCTATGACGGGGAGGCTGGGCCTAAAGGGTGTGTTGTTGCTGTTAGTCGAGTAGTAGCTGCCACTGTCAGTGCGGGCAATTTTGTTAAGTTCAGCTTCAAAACTACAGATGTAAACAATGCCAAGCATGCGTGATTTCGGGTCCACGGCGCCGCGAAAATGCGGGGTGGGGTAGCGGGAAGTGAAGTGAAACTGAAAGTGCAATGATTTGAGAGCTCTGCTGCGTGTGTCGAGTACTGGCGCGTTGGCGAAGTGAAAAGTGCACCACCAAACAACCACTGAAAGACGAACTGGGCAACTTCAGATGAGAAGATGTCTGCTCGAACAGAAGCACTCATCTGAAAGACTCGCCCGCAAACGATTTCCGGTGCATAGGATACTCAAGAGAAAACATGCCCGACATTCGCCATCAGTTCAGTCCTTCGTCCAGGTAGAACATATCGCCCTACTAGCTGTTGATAAAGCTGTAGGCATATAGATTGGGACCAGGATATCCGAGTCCGTGACCGTGACTAGAATTCACAGAATAAGTTCTTCATTAGTATTCTTGACGAAGGACAGAGAGAAGAGAAAAACACTCTTCGGGACGGATGCGAAACGAATGATAAAATGTAGGAGTTGGCAGTATAGAAACAGAAACAACGTAGAAGAAGCAATCCGAAATCGTCTCTTGGGCATTGTATGATGAATTTGAGAGTTGCATGGCAGAGATACTTGATGAACGTGAAAGGCGAAAAGGAAAGCAACAAAATAACGTTCCACAAGGACTTGGAACCACAACCCAACGTTGATACTCGATAGTACCAGTGCTGCTCTCAAGTAGTATTTGCATCTATAAATCCCTGTCGCTAACAGTATTCGTACAGGAGGGTACAGAAGGCTCTGTAGGCGAGAGGAGTGCGCATGAAGAAGTCGGCAACGTATCCCGAACGGGATAATGACTAGGACTCGCGAACAATGCAATAAACATGGATCTGCGCGAAACACACGATGCACTGTTGTGGTAGTAAAGGCGTGATGTGCGAGAGCATGATGAAGCCTTCAGGGTAGATGGTAGTGCAGGGTCTAGGGCGGAAGCCACGAACCCCGCCTGGCGCTAGGCAATTGACCCCACGCGAGTGGCTGGCCAAAAGTTCGTACCCCAAGGACGACGCCTGCGCAACATCGAGAGCAGCGCCATGGCTTTACTCGAGCTGCTGGACCAATTGCCAGCTGGTAGGCCACGAGGCTCGGCACGTACGCTTTTAGCTAATTACACCGCAGAGGTACTCCTCATATGGCACGAGCATCGGCTCCCCATCCTACTGTCTGCACTAGTAGTAGCGACCATCGCGCGCCTTGTCATATACGCGCGCGACCGCGACCAGAGAGAGAAGCTCTCTGTATCACCCGCTCCTTCCTCGCCCAAGACCGCCGTCGAGCTTAAACCGGAATGGCTGCCCGAATACACCACGACGCTCAACTCTGCCAAGCTCAATGTTGATAACCATGCCGAGGACAACACAAGGGCAGTGGCTGCCGTCGCCGAGACGAAGAAGGGCCCCAAAAGAGTCAAGGGCAGGAAGGTACCGAAGAAGGTGGTCGCGGCTCCTGCATTTGATCATCAGACGGACAAAATCCAGCCCTTGATATTCTTCCAATCGCTGTCTGGGACGACTGAACGTTACGCTACGCAGTTCGCGCAAGTCCTGACCGAATGGACAAGGTACGTTTCGGGCATGCACGACATATTTGAGGCGTCGACTGACCTCCTGCTTCACGTTGCAGGGGATGCGATCAATCCAAGTCCTTCCTAGAGCCCCAGACACTCGATATATCCTACATTGAACACGACGACTACTTCATTAGCCCACCGAAAACCGACGCGAACGTCAAGCACTTCTACATCATCCTCGTACCGACGTACAACATTGACACCGTCTTGGACGTCTTTGTAGAGAGCTTGCAGGAAACACACAACGACTTCAGGATCGATACGGCGCCATTGAGCGCTTTGCTGGGATACGCCGTGTTTGGTTTCGGCGATAGAGAAGGATGGCCGACTGAAGAAGAGGGCTTCTGCAGCCAGTCGAGAGAGGTGGACAAGTGGATGGCCAGGCTGACTGGCAGGAAGAGAGCATACCCTCTTGGTATGGCCGACGTCAAGAGCGATGCTGAGCAGATGCTACAAGATTGGAGGATAGGCGTTCAGGACGCGCTCGTGGAGATCGCCGAAGGACGAGGACTCGGTGACGGTGTCCCGGGTAGCGGAGATCCCATTGAGAGCGACGAAGAAGATCTGGAGGATGGCAACGACCAAAATACACGCGTAGACGATGTTGAAGACTTAGGCTCGATGGTGAACGCTCCAATTCCGGTCGACTTTACCACCTACAAAAATTCCGCAACCGCTCCTGAACCCGTCAAGGCCACCTCATCCCGTCAGGCTCCTAAGGAGATGGTCCCTACCACCTCTCCCACGTATGCCGCTCTTACCAAACAAGGTTACAGCATCATCGGCTCTCATTCGGGCGTCAAGATCTGCCGATGGACGAAATCTGCTTTGCGTGGCCGAGGCTCCTGCTATAAGTATTCCTTCTATGGTATCGCCTCTCACTTATGCATGGAAGCAACACCGTCCCTCTCATGCTCTAACAAATGCGTCTTTTGCTGGCGACACGGCACCAATCCGGTCGGCACCACGTGGCGCTGGATCACCGATGCTCCGGATCTGATCTTCGACGGCATCACAGCAGCACATTACAAGAAGATTAAGATGATGAAGGGAGTCCCCGGTGTCCGAGCCGAGCGTTTCAGCGAAGCCATGCGCATTCGTCACTGCGCCCTGAGTTTGGTCGGCGAACCAATCTTCTACCCACACATTAACGAGCTTCTCGGTATCATGCACCAGAATCGCATCTCCACGTTCCTTGTCTGTAACGCTCAGCATCCAGCTCAACTAGCTTCCTTGATCCCAGTAACCCAACTCTACGTCTCCATAGACGCATCAAACAAAGACAGTCTTCGTAAGATTGATCGACCTCTTCACCGGGATTTCTGGGAGCGCTTCTGCGCCTGCCTAGATATCCTTCGTAATCGGCGATTTGAGCAACGCACTGTTTTCCGCCTAACACTTGTCAAAGGCTTCAACATGGCCGAGGAAGTGCGTGGATACGCTGACCTCGTCGAACGTGCATTGCCTGGTTTCGTCGAAGTCAAAGGCGTGACATACTGCGGTACCTCAGCTGCAGGATCTGCAGGCCTCACCATGCAAAACGTCCCCTTCTACGAAGAAGTTGCCGAATTCGTGACGGAACTTGAAAAGGAATTAAACAATCGCGGCCTGACCTATGGCATCGGCGCCGAACATGCGCATTCCTGCTGCATCCTGCTAGCCGACCGCACGAGGTTCAAGAAGAACGGCAAGTGGGCGACAAGAATAGATTTCGAGCGCTTCTTTGATCTCTATGAGGGCAACGTACAAGGGACGAGGATGGAGGAAGGGCAAGTAGTAGGCTGGAGACCAGAAGACTACGTTGGTGACGAGACGCCAGAGTGGGCGCTCTGGGGAAATGGTGGATTCGATCCTAGAGATGCGAGGGTGTATAGGAAGGGGAAGGGTCCCAAGGGCGATGACGATGCAGAGAAGAGCGCAGTGGAAGGGCAGGCCACAGCGACTGCGTTGGAGTTCTAGTCATCGTCACAAGAATAAATATGAATCCAATCAGTTGTGTTGAACAAAGGTTCATCATTGTTCTTCTATCTATGCATTGTATTCATCAAGTCGTAACATCCGTGTATGCAGTCGTAGTGACGCAGCACTCATATAGCCGCCCACTCAACAGAGAATGCCCTCACAGGCTCATTCTCTTGGGCATCTACCTCGGGGTTCTCACCACCGATCATGTAGGCCTTCTTCGTTCCTGTGCCGAGGCGTCCTCCACCAACAACATCCAGCAAGTCGAACTTCTGGTCCCAACCCAAGCCAGTCGCGGCAAAGTGGCTGTGGTACCGAAGGGGATCGCCTGGGTACACGTTGTAGTGACATCCAAAGCGTAGACCGGGCATGTGGTAGTAGCCCTTGGAGTGTAGGTAGCGGAACAGCGGGTAGCTGTCCGGTACAGCTGGTGGAGGGACAGACGGGTCCTTGGCGGGGGTTGGTAGAGGGGGGTATGAAGTTGTTGGTGTGACAAAGTGCTTCTGGGCAGCAACGCCTTTCGGCGCGCTGCTGGCCTGGATAGGAACAGCTGGTTCAGGGGCAGGCGAAGGGGGTGCGGCATCGAAGAGCGAGACCTCTTCGACCGACGAATCCACCTTGGGCGCCTTGATTTGTACCCACGAGTCTGAAAAGCTAGAGCCTTTCATAATGAAGCCTAGACCAGAGCTACCGAGATCCGAGCTATCAGTGACTGAACTAGCGGGGCTGGAGGTGACTGTGGTCTTGGTTGACTTTGTTGGCGCCGAAGAGTCTGCGAAGCTCGATCCCTTCATGATGAATCCAAGACCCGAGCTCGCAAAACTGTCGTCATCTCCTTGCAGAGTATCGTCCGAAGCAGTGCTAGCAGCACCACCACTCTTCTCGACCTCCTCCCTCTTAAGCCCCTTCGCCTCCAACGCCCTCTCTTTCCTTCTCTCCGCCAGCTCAGTCTGTTCCTTAGTAACATCCTCACCGCGCTTATCCATCTCCTGCATATACCTCAGCCTATCCTCACGCTTCATCTCCGCAAAAGCCTTCTGATGTGCCTGCGCATCATCCACGAGATACGCAGCGCCTTTATCGACGAGTACCCGAGCCTCTTCCGGCATGAGTTCAAGTGGTATGCCCAGAAAAACGTTCTGCTGGCTGAGGTTCGGTATCGTGCCGACGAGGAGACCGCAGATGTTGTGCGTGCGACGGCAGTGCGCAATAACGTCCACATCAAAGAGGAGGTAGCGGCCGGCGACGTGGGATATCGGGAAGGGTTCTTTGATCTGTTTGGGGGCTGGGGCAGCCGCCATAGTATAGGATGGTCTAGAGCAAAGGCTTCGTTAGTCTTTGCTTGTATAAAAGAGCGGTGAAGATCACGTAAAACGGTGAAGGTCATCGAGTGAATACTTGGTCGTCATGTCCAACGCGATGTTACATCGTCGCCGGGGTAGGTGGACTGACAGATTGATTTATAGGTTTATAATCATCAAAGGGATAGGAGTGATATGGAAAGGGTATACATACTTACATCGCGGCGGTGATCGCGCCGTGGGGACTGGATGTCGAGAACTTGGATGGAAAACGAGAGACGAGGAGCTTCAGACCGCAGCTTTAAGAAACTTTTTAGCTTGAGCTTTACCCACTATTACCCGCGTTGGTGGCTGCGAAAAGCTGGTTCCATGGGACATGAGTGGTGCGGTGAAGGATCTAGACCCTACGTCGACTAGCGCAGGAGAGCTTACCTAACGCGTCTGACCGGCATCACGAAACGGCTCCCGGAACCCAAGATTCGCGCCCAGTGCACCCCAATCAAGATATATCGAACACCGTGGGGCCTACATCGACGCGACGTCTTCTTGTTTGCTTCCTGTTGTTACATCGTAGGCTGCAGGCCTGTTCAGGTTTTTTTCGTTGTGTCAAGTGACCGCAACGACACGAAACCCTGGAAGAACACCAAACATGGCACCGCCATACTTTCCCGCATCAACCAACGGTCAAGACACCGCGCCGCCAAAATCATACTACGAGCAACAGCGCGAATTGCTCGTCACTGAAATTGCCCAAGTACGTGCGCCCACGCAATCCCCCACGGAGCGCATCGCAGCCCTCCAAGTCCCAGCTTCTACACCGGTCCATACTAACCAACAGCCAGAGTCTAGAAGTCGTCCTACAAAACATCAACAAGCTGAACCGTTCGCTCGAAGAAGTCACATCCGTCGGAAACGAGTTCGCACCCGTTGAGTCGCTATGGAGCCACTTTGAGAACGTCATGGCCAAGGACCCGAGTGAGCAACAAGAAGGGCCACAAGAGGGCGCAACGGAACATGAAGGCGAGACGGAAGTGCCTCAGGAAAGGAAATGAGCGGTGGCAGGGAGGTAACCTTGTTAGTTTACGATAAACAACAACGCGCCCGGTGGTGCACGGCCAGCCGTCGAACAGACCATGGCGATAGCAAGTATGATGTAATGATACCCCGGAGCGAGTCATTGGCACAGTGCGCGACACCAGGGGATCGCAGTCACCACGTTGTATTATACTCTTACACAGAAGATACACCGTGTGTATGATGTTCAAGACTAAGATATGCAGCATTTCACGTACCATGTACATTTGGGCGAAGGGATGTATGAAGGCGGTCAGCGACACGAGTTCTGTCATCGGCTAGCGACGATCAATATGGAGAAAAACAGGTTTCAGAAATATGTTTGATTTACTTCCCCGGCGCAGGCAAATTTAATCGCCCACTCGCGCCATGCATACATACAGAATACCGAATACAGATACAGGGAAAGAAAATGCTGCTACTGTGGACTATGGAATCGCTGCGTCCATTCTCATGCCAAAAAGGAAACCCAAACGCCAGGCGGCCATGTACATGTAAAGACTTCCCTAGGATTAAGAGGAAGCGAACATGCCCGGACAAGTGGTGGAGGTGAGCCGTATGTCATTAAACATCTTGATCGTGTCGTCCAGCGTCGTGAATCTCGATATGCTCTCCTCTCGATAGACACAAACAAACTATAGGACCTTGCAGCCGCTGCGCTTCTTCTTCTTACCGCCCCCAGCAGGGAACGACGACGTGTTCCCTCTTGATGAGGTCGCTGTGCCGACACGGCGCTCTTCTTGCTCCTTGTGCTCCTCGCCGACGGCCATTGTGACGGCCATGTCGAAGATCTCTTCTACACCGTCTTGCTCTTTACTACTGCACTCCATGTAGGCAGCGCCCATCTTCTTCGCAACCGCGCGACCTTGCTCTGATGTGACGGGCGTCAGGCCTTGTGTCTTGAGTAGCTCGATGCAGTTCTTCTTGTTGCGCAAGTCGGACTTGAGGCCCAACAGCATGAGGGGCGTTGTTGGGCAGAAGTGGAGAACTTCTGGGTACCACTGGGAGTTGTCAGCCAATGCATGGGTTATGTGTATCGAAGTATCTTACCTTGTCCATGACGTTTTCTAGTGAGTTGGGGCAGTCAATCGCAAAGCAGACGAAAATGACATCTGTCTCTGGGTACGAGAGCGGTCGCAACCTGTCGTACTCCTCTTGTCCAGCGGTATCCCACAGCGCAAGTTCGACCATCTTGCCTGTGGGAGGATGAGGAGTGTGAGTGATGTAGTTCTCAAAGACCGTTGGTACATATTTCTGCAGTCGCATTAGAATCACATGACATGTCTTTTTAGCTGGTGGTGCGTACCTCTGGGAAGTTGCCGGAGCTGTAGCTGATCAACAAACATGTCTTTCCGCATCCACCGTCACCGACAACAACGAGCTTCTTGGAGTAGGCTGGTGGTTCGGTGATGGCTGTGTCGCGCGTGTTGGTGGTTCCATATGAGCTAACGGTGCCATTGCTGTTGCGCTCGCTCGGTGTGCGGGCGTGGCTGCGGACTGGTGTGATTGATGAAACGGCCGCCTTTGTGCTCTGCTTGCGCCGGAGGTAGTCGTAGTTCTGGGAAGGTGCGGTGGCCATGTTTGGAAGTGTGCGGGATGTGTAGTCGTGTCCTGTTTCAGACGAGGTTATCAATACGGAGAAGGAAGATGGTGTTGGAGTTGGTGTGGGGAGCGAGTGGTCGAGGCTTAAGAGAGGTGGATGTTGACTGTTAGAGGGCTCGGTCGCATATGGCAACCACGCTACGTCTCCAGCGGCTCGCTAAACTAGCGCCAAGTCGCAACGTGCCTGTCCATGTCTATCGATCGATGGCATGCATCCAAGCCCTCAGCCTCGTCTTACTCCACGACGCTATCGCTGCCGCTGGACATGCACGTTCGATTAACTCGCCCACCCCCTTTCTGCGACCGCTGCCATGAGTCCGCGACATGATGCGCCCAAAGACACCGCAGCGACCACGGAGCCCAAATTGGACGCGGGCAACAAGGGCCACGATCACTATGCCCAACGCCTGCCCAGATGGCGCAATGCCCTGCGCAACCGCCTCATACCCATTGTGCGCTGGGAGACGCCCTGGCTCGCCCTGATGCAGGACAAGATGCGCTCGCCCGCCCTCGATTCCTACTTCGCCTACACTGCCAACCTCGGCACACATACCTTCTTCATGGTGTTCCTGCCCATCCAGTTCTGGTGCGGCTACACTAGCATTGGCCGAGCGTATGTCAGAAGCTGTCTCTCACTATCGTGCGACGTCTGACGTACATAGAACTGTCTTCATGCTTGCAGCCGGTGTGTATGGAACGGGCTTCCTCAAGGACATGCTCTGCTTGCCCAGGCCCTTATCACCCCCACTTGCCCGTATATCCATGTCCGGGTCCGCTGCGCTCGAATACGGCTTCCCCTCGTCGCACTCTGCCAACGCGGTATCGGTCGCCTTCTATGCCATATACACGTTGCGCCAGTCAGCCGAGCAGGATAATTCAAACTGGAATGCGGGCTTGCAGGCGCTGTTCTACTTCTACGCGCTCTCCATCATTGCGGGGCGCTTGTATTGCGGCATGCACGGGTTTCTGGATGTCCTCGTCGGAAGTGTAATGGGTGCCTTGATCACGGCATTCCAATTGGTCTGCGGGGACTGGATGGACTCGTTTGTCTTCAGTGGCAGTTATATGGACATCTTGATCGCAACGTTGGTCGTCTGCGTTCTCGTCCGCATTCATCCGGAGCCTGCCGACGACTGTCCATGCTACGACGATAGCGTATCCTTCTCCGGCGTGGTTATTGGAATCAATCTTGGTGCATGGCATTACGCGCAGACCGGCTATGCCCTGAAAGATGCATACCCCTCGTCCGTTCCATTCGACCTGGAAGAGATGGGTCTGTTAAAGGCAACAATCCGCATTCTACTCGGTGTTGTAGTAATCTTCGTCTGGAGAGCGACCATGAAGCCTGCCTTGTTTACTATCCTGCCACCCATTTTCCGTCTTCTAGAGCAGGCCCGTTGGAACATGCCTCGCGCCTTCTTCCTCAACGCGTCCAAGTACAAATCCATTAAGCCTTTCGCAGATGACGACAACGTCATTCCACCTGCATCAGAGTTGCCACATATGCTGAAGAACCTCGCCCACCCACGTAAGCGGTCTGTATCTGTCGGGCCACAGTCTGCTGCCGATGCTTACGAGACGCTTGCTTACCGCAATCGCCGACGACGGGAAAGTGTTAACTCACTAGATGGTACGGTACCCGAAGACTCCGCTTGGATACCCGGCCCGGCAGTCCTTGACACACCCAACATCGAGAAGGGGGAACCGCTACTTGGCACAGGTCTCCTGCCTACACCGATGGCGTCTAGGGTACACTCGTACGAGCAGATGATGGGCACAGGTGAAGTGCATGTAAACGAGAAAAATACGTCTACTCCCCCGAGGAGCGATACAGACGTCGCTGGCGATGTCCACACGCTCACACAAAGCCCGACTGAGGAGGAGAACGAGAAGCGGGAGATCTTTATGAAGCTTACGACACCGCGAGTGCGCTATGATGTTGAGGTCGTCACGAAGTTAATCGTGTATACCGGTATGTTATATGCTATCAACAGAAAATCGAAGACTAATCATAATTAGGTATTGCGTATATCGCTGTTGCGGGTAACCCCATTCTATTCGAGTTCTTAGGCCTGGGTATGGGTCAGCAATCGTAGTTGATCCGGGCCACAACCATGTTACGTCTCTTTTATCGTACATATGCCGACACAATCGGATGGTCTTGGTGAAACTGATGGACGGTCTCATGGTTTCTTCTTGCTTCAGAAGTCGAGTTTAGCCATGGAATTTGGACCAGTCGTTGCGCAATGCCAGGGAGAATCTCCTGGTAGCCTGGAGCTACCTAGTGGTGATTGAGAAATAATGGGCATTATTTCGTGGTTTTCAGGGCGTATATACGCCCGGTGATTCTCTTCTATAGTAATTAGGCTACCCATCCGATCTCCCATGGAACGATAGCGTACATGGACATGTCATGAGTATAACTCGATGAATACAGCATGACATATCCATGTACGCTATCTAGGTACGCCTTATACAAGGAAAAAGCCATATAGGCTTGCAGACTACATTAACCTAAAATCTTGCAAAGTAGGTAACCTAACGTCAACGTAGGCTCTAAGCTGTTCAGTTTTTCCACAAATGCCTACCCAATCATGCATCGGCCCTATACTCCTTCAGTCCTGCATACGTGCCACCTTTGACAATCTCCTTCGTTTCGCCCATAGTACCAAAGCAACAATGCTCCACCTTGCCCAAAGGTCCCTCCCTAGGATCATCTTCAAGGAGTACACCAAAGCGCAACTTCGTCTTCGCCAGCTCCTTGGGAAAGGGGTCTCCACCCAAGCATGCCCCAACACTCAAATGATCCAGCGTAGGATTACGGGTGGTAGCCATAATGCGAGAGAAGAGCACATCCGAAGCTACCCCGTTCATGTGGAGCGACCATGCGCCAACCAGGATGAAAGCGAAAGTAATCGCGATGACGATTGCGTATCCGATCCAGAGAGAGTGTTTATAATACACGTATACCACCATGGTTCGGGACTTTGTGCAGGGCACTTCTTGCGTCTGAACCACGGCTAGATTTGGGTCGTTGAGAAGAGTGATTAGTATATCTTCGAAGAGGTCTTGTATTTCTGTCTTCAGATCCACCAATGGGTACGAGGTGCTGCTGTTGACTAATCGCGTCTCAGATAGATCCGAGTAGGTGATGAGGATCTTTTGCTTTTCGATTTTGCCACGCAGGAAGCGTCGTAGGAGTGAACCTAGAGTATGGAAGGAAGCCGTTACTTTGTATTCTTCGGTATTTTTCTGGGGTTCGATGGGATGGTCGCCGATGACCGGTCGCAGGAATTCTCGTTCCAAGCGGGTTGCGGACTGTCTAGGATTGTAGCTCATGTTGAAAGTATATCTGGTGTATTGCATGACGCATTTGAATATCTTCGGCTCTGTAAAGATGGACGTGACAAGTCAGTATATCAACCAAGAAAAGCCCAAACAGGCCTGCAGCCTACATCGACATGAAAGCCTATAAGATAGGTGACCTGGCGTTGATGTAGGCTCTAGACCTGTTCAGGTTTTTTCTTGTATGAGGTGTATCTCTTACATGTGGTTCGCATAGCCAGAACTTACCATGTAAATTTCCCCATTTGGCCTTGTACTCCGGTTCTGCATCGTGCGAGTACGGCTTGGAGGTGTTGATGGCGTATCCGATCCAAAGGTTTGGCTCGTTCTCGAATGCGCCTAAAGACCCTGTACCATGCACCGGGTCTTGATACCCGTAATCACCTTGATCGACATCTGCATTATATACAAGGCTTCCACTCGGCGCGAGTTCAGACAATGCGAATGGCGCGTCGGATTCATCAGTATTCTCGACGTCCATGCATTGGTAGCCGGGCCCCACGAAGCTTATTGTGTATGTACAATTCCAGCCCGATCCGCAAAATACGGTAGAAGCGTTTTCGCGAGGCTGTGGCTTCTGCATGTACACGCTACTGAAGGCTAATCGGCGTGCATTCTTCGACGGCTGATCGTAGTAGTCGAAGAAGCTTCCTGTACCCGTTGCCGCGGGATAGAATTCTCCATCTCTCCTTTCCTCTTCGATTGGCTCAGTGGTGTTGTAGAAATTCAAGCTCTTTTGCCAGAATTTACTCATGTCCCGAAAATTGTATGTAGACTCCTGGGTGAAATTCAGGGTAGCTACAGAGCACCTGGCAGTGTTGTTGAACGTTCTTAGCTCAGATGTTAGTGAGGCTGGGGACAGGACGGATGCAAGTGGTAGTAACTTGGGTAGGTCAGAATAAATCTTCTGTCTTCTGTGAAAGATTTGTAGGCTTACCCAGGTACAGGCTGCCATGAGCGTAGCAAGCTTGCCATTTCTGATCATCTCCCAGTTGAGGAAGAACTGCGTCGGATCTTCCGTTGCAGAAAACAGGCCATCAATACCATTGATCGTCATCGCCTTTCGTCGGAAGGTATACCATATGCGCTGACGGTTGCACATGATAACGGTCCCGACCAGTGTGCTTTTCACAAAGAAAGCCAAGGCTGTACCATATCGCACCATCTTCAGTTGCTCGGTGGCCGGCTTCCCATTGAGATGCATGTAAAACAAGTGATGGCCCACTGCCGCCGCGAATCCAGCCATGAACAACGCTACTATGAGAGCTGGTGTTGTCCAGTATATGTGCCATTGGACCAATTCGCCAGATCTCCTGTCGACGAGAGCTTGAGTGTCCGCATCCATGGTCTTCTTATGATAAAGCGAGTTTAAAGTATACGTAGACTCTCTCGCTGACCGTATGGAGTGGCCGGATATGTCGTGTTCTCCTCGCACCGGCTCATACCGGCTGTCGCCGTGTGGCAGGCCCAAGTAGGCTCCCGCCCGGAACCCACCCTTTGTATTCTCATCGTGAGACTGACCCAAGGATCGTGCGGGAGTAATGCGCGGATCTACACCGTCCGATGATAGCCGTGAAAGATATGAGAGCTCGATAGGATCGGATTCTGTGCGGAAGGGATCGTAGGGTTCAGGACGTGATTCCGGTGAAACATCCCGTGAGGAATAAGCCGACTGAATCCCTCGAGAAGCCATCGTTGTCGCAATGCTGTGAGTCGAGGATGACACAATCTTGAGAGCATAGGATGATTGCGGCGCGGTCCCGGGGTCATTAGGAAAACACCATAGTGCTAGCGTTCAGCGGGGTGTTGCACATGTAGAACTGTGGGCGTATGCAGCACGACAACAAGAGGAGGGTGGCCGGAATGCTCAATGAGTGCCGGTGCTGTCGCATGCAACTATCTCAAGGACGATCGGGGTGGAGAAAGCATCGTGCCCGGGACTGAGCCCCCACTTCTCCATCATCGCTCTCTCAGGTGTGGTCTATTCTGGGGAACCGAGATGAGGCGTAGGCGGCGCACAACACAGGGAGGACTGGCTATTGGTAGACCATTCTCGCACTAAGCGCGACTGCAGGTGGCTGGCTGGAAGCTGGAGACACTTCATAGCTGGGGATGTAGTCCCACCTCACACACGAAAAAAACTGAACAGGTCTGCGGGCTACATCAAGACAAAAGCTTGTAACGTAGGTAACCTAACGGCAACGTAGGCTCTAGGGTGTTCTTTTTTATTAGGTTGACGTAGACTAACGACCAGATCGCGCGTGCGGAGGTGCGCTGGCTCTTACAAACTGTAAGTATGACAGAAGGAAGCTACGCAAGAGACGTCTACCGCAGTAGATGTTACAGCCTATACAGCCGAGTGTAGTATAGTGGGTGCCTCGGAAGAGACGACTCTCTTGGTAGAAGGCAGTAGAAGACGGTGCGGGGCATGAGTAGGCGCGAAGCCACGCGACATCCTCGCGTTTCTCCATCGGACCCACTCCGCCTACCTGGAGCTTACAAATGCGGTCCCAGCGACCTTTGCCGACATCTGCCATGTTGCGCGCAGCCCCAGGCTCTAATCTGCACGTTTACCGAAGATCCGAGCAATTCCCGACAAGGCAAGCAGAGCATCGGTCAGCCATCCTGACAAACTCGTCTTCCAGACCGGCAGTTTGCCTTTGAAATCATGACGATAACGCCGCCATTGGGTCTGTTCTGTGCGGCCAGACTGATCACCAACAGTTCAGGAAGCTAATGATCCATGATAGCCGCAGTTTACAGGGGAGCTACAAGCTGTGACGTGAACGCGGGCTAGCTCTTGTTATTCTTGCGTCACTATTCGGACCTTCGACGACCCCACATGCACATGCAGTACATAAGGAGCAGGCACCGTCATGGCAGGGACGTCATAAAGGTTCAAAGGTCTTTCGTAGCTCCTTCGAATTCCCCATAGCAAACACTCATACACATAATCAACTACAACATGGCACCATCAACGACAAAGGCATGGACCGTTCAAGGCCAGGATGGCTTTAACTCTCTCAAGTTCAATGAGCAGGCCAAGGTACCTGAGATAGGCGACAAGGACGTTCTAGTCAAGGGTGCGTAGAGCTCATCGAATAGCCTCCAGCAATAATACTGACCAATGGACAGTCCACGCCGCATCATTGAACTACCGCGATCTTATCATTCCCATGGGCAAATACCCCTTCCCGATGAAGGACAACACTGTGCCTGGCTCGGATGGCGCCGGCACTGTAGAATCGGTCGGCAAGCGCGTCACACGCTTCAAGCCTGGAGGTTCGTATCCCTACACAGACCAATGCATACAGCCTTCTTACATCATCCAGACAAGGTAGTCACCCTCTTCAACCAAGGTCACATCGCCGGCTCCCTAGACGCACAATCTATCGGCACCGGTCTCGGAGGCGCCATCGACGGTACTCTGCGAGAGTACGGCGTTTTCGACGAAGCTGGTCTCGTTGCGGCCCCCTCCAACCTGAACATGCTCGAGGCCTCTACCCTCTCATGCGCCGCCCTCACAGCTTGGAACGCCCTATACGGTCTGGAGTCACGCGCTCTCAAGCCTGGTGACACAGTCCTCACACAAGGTACCGGTGGTGTATCCATCTTTGCTCTGCAATTCGCAAAGGCAGCTGGCGCCCGCGTCATTGCGACAACCAGTTCCGCACAAAAGGCCGACCTCTTGAAGAAGTATGGTGCCGACCACGTCATCAACTACAAGGAGACGACCAACTGGGGTGAGGAAGCCGCGAAGCTCACTCCCAACGGCGCTGGTGTACAGCACGTTGTCGAGGTTGGCGGCCCGACCACGATGGCGCAGTCTCTCAAGGCCATTGCCATCGACGGCGTCATCTCCATCATCGGTTTCATTGGCGGCGGCGGAAAGGATCAGCCTACGTTCCTTGACTGCCTTAACAACATCTGCACTGTGCGTGGTGTATTGGTCGGTTCAAGACTGCAGATGGAGGACATGTGCAAGGCAATTGAGGCAAATGACCTGCACCCCATTGTTGACGAGAAGGTGTTTGAGCTCAAGGATCTCAAAGACGCCTACCAATACATGTGGGACCAGAAGCACTTTGGTAAGCTCACTGTCAAGGTTGCCTCATAGAGCATGCGACACAGAGTATATAGTACAGTCTAATTTACTGCAAACACTACGCTATGCTATAACACAATTGTGCCTCCTGCCCGTCCTCCCGGCGAGACCAACTCGAACCCCCGAAGGGGTGAGTCAAGGTCTCAAACCAGGAGGACTGAGGCAAGAGTAAAGAACTAGCTACAAGAAAGAAAACAAATACAAGAGCCTCTCGCTGGATGACCAGACGAGCGTACCACGTGCCCTACTAAGAAATGAAATTGAGCCTCTCGCTGTATAAACAGACGAGTGTACCACGTGCTCCGCAAGAAAAGAAACTGAGCCTCTCGCTGTATAAACAGACGAGCGTACCACGTGCTCTGCAAAAAAAAAAGACCCCGAGGCAACTACCAAGGTACAAACAAGAACAAACCGCTCGCCAAACAGACCTCTGGACAACTACCAGGGTACCAAAAAACAAAACTCCAACTATGCAAAAACTCAAGCCTCTATGGGCGGTGGGGGTATCATGGGGTATCCGGGTCGTAATGTAACCGTCGTGAAAAACCTCGTAAGCGACCGAACTCCATGCTGTGCTCCAGAAAACAACGCGAAAAGATGAAATCGCCGACCCATGTAATGCAAGTTGAAAACAGAATTCGTGTGTACGAATGGAAAATGGAGAATGGAGAATGGAAGAGTTGTACTCATTCCAGCTCAGTGGTAGGACGACCGGCCAGCAGAGTGGTTGCGATACGCTTGCGTGCATCGTCCATGCCGTCGGTAGAAAGGACACGAGTGGGAGCGTCGCCGCGGATGAGGGTCAAAGCGTTCAGGAGAGTGAAGACACCGCAATCGCTTCCGTTCTTCTGTTGCTCACTCCTCTGACCAGTCTCTTTATTCCACTCCGAAGGAACCCAGTGTTCACCGAGCTCCTGCTCGAGGTATTTGACGAGCTTGTCGATGTATGTTTGTCCGTCAAGACCCATAGAGTCAAAGTACTCAATAGTGCGTTCCCGGGGATAAACCGCGAGCAGACGCCAGTGACCTCTGTCACAGATGGGATAGAGGAGGAGGTCGGCGTCGAGGTACTGCTTGCCTTTCAGCTGGAACCTGTTGGTCCAGCGAGAAGTATCGGCAGTCTGGTACCAAAATGACGAAAAGGCGTGAAGGGGCGGTGCAGGACCGTTGCGCTGGTGAGCGAAGCCCATTTCCTTCTTCTTTGCAGCGATGAGAATAGAAAGATACTCGTTGACGATGCTGTCGTTCAACCATGCCCTGGGATCACCGTTGAAGACGCGAGGCAACAGAGTCGCAAAGTCTCGAGCGTATAGCTTGTCTTCAACGACGAACGAATCTGACTTGCGGCCGTATTTGGTCTTGGCTGCGGCGTCTTGCAGTGCAGCTTCTTCCTCGGGAGTGAGCGGCGCGATGAGTGGCTTCTGTGGCGGTGGGGGAGGCGGTGCCAAGGCAAGCTTCCTCTGCATTTCCCGCTGAAGGTCTTCGAGGAGTTCCAGTGAGAACTCGCACTCCAGGAGCGATTCATCGGGTGCGTCGAAAGCGTCAACGGAGACACCGCGCCAGCCGCCATTTTGCGCAGGAGAATCAAGAAGGGTTATCTGCGGGCTGCTGTCTGCTGACGAGCGAGAAGATGATGACGCCTGGCTGGCATTTGATGCGCCGCCATCGTTGTTCTGGAACACATTGTGGTATTCCCTGATCGGACTTGAAGTAATCGTCTCTAGCGTGGAGTCGAGCATCTCGCTGACTTTCGTGTCGACGTAGAAGGGCTTGCATTTAGCATCCTTTTCCCATCGCACTCCCTTCGCTCGCGGCGGAGATGGCGCATCAACGAGGAATGACAAGTCGTTGGCGTATTCGACTTCAGAGGTTTCAGTGACCTCAGGGAGAAAGGACAAGTCGTTGGCGTACTCGAAGTCGGGGACGGCAGCTTCGGTTTCAGTCTTTGGTTGTGATGGAGATGCTGATGACCAAGCATTCGTGGAGTGGAAGGGGTTCTGGTTGAATGACTCGGCGAAACTGTTCTTAGCTTGCTCGGTATCGGCGAAACCTTCTTCCGTAGACTCGAGCGCGGCATTGAGGCCTGCGATCCGCTTGCGTTCCCTGTACATCTGTGCCTTGACCAGTTGGCGTCGCAGAGGTGTGACCGTAGGCAGGTTGGAAGTGCGCTTGCCATTGTGGGCTGGGCCTGTGGATGCTTGCGATGAGGAGAGTGCTTGCGCCGACGGTGACGTAAGACCTGAAGAGGCATGGGCAGTTGAAGCATTGCGGAGCTCAGAGATCCAGGCCGGGTTGGCATTGTCGTAGGCAGGCGGGTCATAGTGGTATAGTGGGGATGACAAGACCGGGCTTGCGGGCGAGGCAACCGCGGGTGAGGCGACCTGAGGGCTGTTCCAGAATATTGTCATGGGAGAGCCGGTCTGGGGGTCGCGCGGCGGGGTTGAAGTGAAGACATCCTCGAAAGAGAAGTCTACACTGACCTCAAGGTCCTCGTCGTCTTCCAGGCTGACGTTGCCGCCCTCGTCGAGAGATACATCTCTATTGTATGCTCCAGGCACGATTTCCTCGAATTCTTGTGTATGTACTGATGACGTATATTGAATTGGTGGAACGCGGAATTGGTTGGGGCTTAGCTCTGTCGCGCGCGCCTGCCTTTGGTGTTCGCGACGCGCCTGGTTCGCGCGCGCGCGCACTGAAGGCGACGGTGTCGCGCATTCCTCGTCTGCCAGACCTGCGGAGATGAAGCGCTTCTTGTTGGAGCCGGTGGCGGAGATGATGGGGATCGCCTTGATAGTCTCGCGGCGGAGATAGCGGTTTGCAAGGCGTGCGGGGAGTGAGAGCAGGTTGGCAACGCTCACGGTCGCAGCCCACTTGCCGAGCGTGGTGAAGAGAGAAGCGCGCGGAGGTATGACTTCCTCGGCGGCGATGATGTGATCTTGTGGCCATCCGCCTGGGATACGCAGATGTGATATTGAGGAAGGGGTGTGTTGCTGCGCCTGCCGTTGTTGTCAGCTCGCGTCGCGTCAGTATAGGCAGCGACGACTACTCACCTGCAGTTGAGGAGCGCCGAAGCCATTGGCAGCGACTAGCATATCCGCAGACGCGCTGGAGAGGTAGGCGCTATAAGCGCGCTTGTTAGACATTGTTGGTATTGCTTGTCGCGGTGGTGGGTGCGATGGGCAGCAGTGACAACAATGTGGTGGAAGTGGTGTAGAGTGGAGAAGGGACGAGGGTCGCGGCTGCTGCACAAAGCTGCCCGCAGTAGCGGCCGCGCACAGACCCGCAGCTAACGGTTCGCGCTAAATTGCCTGAGGCTCTTGGTACCCGGCGCGGAGAAACAATCCACCATTACGGCCTGCTTCCAAGGTAGTATGTGCCTGCAGTGCGTGGTCGTGCTTCTCCCCATATTCCTGTCATAGATCCTGCTGCCGCCGTCGATATCGCCTTGCACGCCACACACAGCCTCCGACTCCAACGCCCTCCGGATTGCAAGTCGCTACCGCCCACCGCCTCTACTCGTGTCTGCTGCACGTCATTGGTCGAGTTTGAAAGGGCAAGAACCCCTCGACAGCAGCTCTACATCACAACAACCGATCGACCCCCCACCTACATCGATCCCGCCGCCCCGCAACCATGGATACCAATATGGAGGACGTCAAGATGCCAGAGCCTATGCAGCTGTCGTCTGCCCCCACGACTGAGCCGACCACAATCCCCACGCTGGACGGCTGGATTGAGAGTCTGATGAGCTGCAAGCAGCTGGCCGAGAGCGACGTGCAGAGACTATGCGACAAGGTATGCGACATCCACCTAGCGCGCAATGTCATCGGGAATGCCTTTTCTGACAAGCATCGTGTTACAGGCCCGCGAGGTACTTCAGGACGAGTCCAATGTACAGCCAGTGGTACGTACCCTTTTTGCCGCGCCTGCGACATCTGCTCACCGTCGCATAGAAATGCCCCGTCACTGTCTGCGGTGATATACACGGCCAGTTCCACGACTTGATGGAGTTGTTCAAGATCGGTGGCCCCAATCCGGACACCAACTACCTCTTCATGGGTGCGTTGCCTGCCTCAACCCTGCCAGCCCATACTGACTGACGTGCACAGGCGACTATGTCGACAGAGGCTACTTCTCCGTCGAGACCGTCACCCTCCTAGTCGCACTCAAGATTCGATACCCCCAGCGCATCACCATTCTCCGTGGCAACCACGAGTCCCGCCAGATCACCCAAGTCTACGGCTTTTACGACGAATGTCTCCGCAAGTACGGCAATGCCAACGTCTGGAAATACTTCACAGACCTATTCGACTACCTGCCGCTCACCGCCCTGATCGACAACCAGATCTTCTGTCTGCACGGTGGTCTCTCCCCTAGCATCGACACCCTTGACAACATCAGGGCGCTCGACCGCATACAGGAGGTGCCTCACGAAGGACCAATGTGCGACCTGCTCTGGTCCGACCCAGACGACAGGTGCGGCTGGGGAATCTCACCCCGTGGTGCAGGATACACCTTCGGTCAAGACATCTCGGAGGCCTTCAACCACAACAACGGCTTGACGTTGGTGGCACGTGCTCATCAGCTAGTCATGGAGGGGTATAATTGGTCGCAGGACAGGAATGTCGTTACCATATTCTCGGGTATGTTGTTCAATTTTCCATTGCCGATGATCCCACTGACCTCGTCCAGCACCGAACTACTGCTACAGATGCGGTAACCAGGCCGCTATCATGGAGATCGACGAGCATCTAAAGTATACCTTGTAAGTTCCTTCCCTCTCGATAAGCTATTTTCAATATCTGACACACGTCCCAGCTTGCAATTCGACCCTTGCCCACGCGCAGGCGAGCCTATGGTGTCGCGAAGGACCCCGGATTACTTCCTCTAAGCGGACTCTTCCTCTTGGCTCCCACCGCTATCTCAGCACAGCGTTACATTTGGAAGTCATCACTGAATACACTATGTACGATTGCATTCCTGGTCACCCGAGCCGTCATGAAAGTGACGGGAGACGCGTGGCAACGACGTGCTCGCTTGAAATGAGGCTCTCATCGTCTACAAGGCCCAAGAAGCCGTACTAGAGACACGTGGGAATGTTGCAATAGGTGGTGATGTAGCTAGTGCGAGACTGATAATGGTAGAGAGTTGATTGTAGAGCTCCCTATATGTGCTTTGGTGAATATGTTTGTTATTCGTAATGCACTCCCGCGCATGGGCATTGGTCTTTGACACGCGATCTATATCCTCATTCTATCGCTATACCTTGGGTAGTAACAAAATACGTGCTGTATTGAATGGTAACCCGGATGCTGTCTTCTTAGAAATGCACAGTATTATGTCACGTTGACTTGTTATCATCAGCACTGCACATGCATTAAGTCAACAGATAATGTCATTATCTGATGGTGCGCAGTCTGTACCGCTGGGCAGGCGGCCTGCAACGAACCATCCCAGCTGAGTCAGCCACCATCTTGCATCTCGAACTTTTGTCCAGTACCAACATCTCGAGCCACACCACAGCGCCCGCCCATAATGCCTCTCACACTCTTCCGACGTCTTGCACGACCCTCGATCCTCTCCGCAGTTGCTTTCGCTCCGGCGCGATCAACACGGCCATCAATCGCCGCCTCCGCTTTCCAGAACAGTACCCCGGCCTTCGCAGCCCGCCCAACACCGTCGTCGCGCGCACACAAATGCACATTAATACAAGTCCTGCGACAGGGGAGGATAGCGCGGAAGGCGCGTAAACTGCGATCGCCACAATTGAAGGACAGGCCAGAGCTGAAGGGCGTGTGTCTGAAAGTGGGAACGACGAAGCCGAAGAAACCCAACTCGGGCGAGCGAAAGATTGCGAGGGTCAGACTGAGTACGGGCAAGGTTATCACGGCGTATATTCCGGGAGAAGGTATGGCAAACACATGGGAGTGGTGAGCTATAGGGAGACTGACCGGTACACAGGTCACAATGTACAGCAGCATTCAGTCGTCATGGTACGAGGCGGACGAGCGCAAGATTGCCCTGGTGTGAAGTACCATTTGGTTCGAGGAGCACTGGACCTGGTAAGTCTCATGAGCACAAATACCATGGGAAGACATCGCTAACAATCTGCAGGGTGGTGTCGGTAGCAGAATCACCTCACGGTCAAAGTACGGAACGAAGAAGCCCAAGACGGCATAGATGGATATTGCGGTGGAGTGTAGACATATGATTGTACCATACCCTAGCATCATGGGCGTTGAAATATAGCGGACGTGGAAATGCATCATCCGACTACTCAAGTATGCCTGGTTCAACGACGTAGGCACATTGTAGACATCCGTCATGGCATGTATGACACTTGTGCATTTGTTGAATAGCAGTCGTGATCATCTGTGAAATCGTGTACCATTGGGGTGTGGCGCACGTCAGTATACCTCGGAGGTTTACCTATGCAGCTGCAGCCCGACGGCTCGGAGGTCGCGTCATTCCAAGCATTCCACGGTCGACTTCCGCACCAAGTCCACAGCACCCTTACATCGTCGCGCAAGCTCAAGACGCTTGACCCAACTATCGCTGTGAACTGCATCTGTCTTCACAGTCGCCATGTATCTGCTTCAATAATCACTGGATTTAATCAAGACTTCGAATAGTTCTGCCTGCCGACCCATCCTCGGATATCCGCAACCGCCGCAATGGAGACGCCAGGCGCGTCCGCCAACGCGACTTCCTTCTTGCCGTCGCCAGCAGATTTGCTCATGGCATTACCGCGCCTCTTCTCCAAGGCCAGTTCTCTCGGCGACATGATGCGCTCGGGTGGAAGCGTTATCGCGGAACCTACGGCCAACATGACAAACAGCACCATGACGACTACAGGCTCGGGATTTGTACAGGAATCCATCGCTGCAGCAGCTTCTGCGATTTCGACCGAGGGCGAGATGACCGTGTGGCAAGCTTTGAGGAACGTAGCCGCCTGGTTCAGCTACATTACTTCCAAATGGGCCGTCGCAACATTCGCCCTGGTGAGCATCTGCTCCCATGACTACGACTATTAGGTACTTTTTGCTGATATGACGTCGCAGGCAATCGTGCTTAACAGAACCCACTTCTACGCCAACAGCCGCGTTCCACTTTCCTTCGACCGCCTCTACCTTCGTTTCGCCCTCTACATCATGCCCTTGATCCTCTTCCTCTATCAGACGCAGAACACTCTACGGGCGATACGCTGTCAAACCTCCCCCGGTTGGTCAGAGATGCAGTACGGAGCGGATGGTAGGCAGCTGGATACAGACTTCGGTGGCGAAGGCGGCTTTCTATGGCAGGTCACGTCAAAGATACTCTTCTGGGAGACCACAGAGAGCTCATGTCGAGCTGCGAATATGTTGCCCATCGGTCCGGCGACCACGCGGCCTTCTGGATCGCTATCGCTTCTATGGCCCATGTTTGTGACACTTGGATTTGGCCAGTTCGTTGATACGTTGGCCTGCGCCCTGCAAGGAAGACGCCCCATTCAGGAAGTCGGGATGACCATTTTCGAACATTCGCTCGCATTTGCTGAGGCTGAGGCTGTCGTCACGAAGCCCTTAGCGGTCGATTCCGTACGCTTCTTCAAACCGAAGTCTGTCTTCACTCCAGATGGCACATCCTTCACGATTCCGAGGTCAAAGCTCTCCAAGATCGCCAATGTACCACCGGAAGTGCTGTTGATTTCCCTCATCTCTAGTTTCAGCCACTTCATGAGCAACTTGTTAGCGATCGCTGGAGTGCGCTCCAGGTGGCGACTCGTCACGACAACAATCTGCGGACTCGCCTACATGTCAGCTTTCGCATGGAGCTGCATTCGTCTAGCGACCATGGTCGCTGATCCAGATCACTATGTGGGGATCTTGAGATTTCCTACTGTATGCATCATTGGATTCATCCCGCACTTGCTGATACTTGTGGGTATCGCGATATGCGCACTAATCTACTTGCTGGCCTTCATCATCACCGTACTTTCTCCACCTGCAGGACATGCCGACAATTTGTCTCTGCGAGAGAGATTTGCATCCGCCTACGGCAATCTTCATGCCAACATTCATCTGTCCTCGATTACGCCTTTGACTATCAATTGGCACGAAGACTTCTATACAACTATACTCAAGGTAGGCTACGTCATTTTGACATCCGCCAGTGAAGCCGTATTTCTCAATGAAGGAACTAAGGTCAACGTGCACCCAATGACCTGGCTCGAAAAGCAGAGACTGCAGGAACTGCTCGCTCGACGAAGAAGAACACGAGAGATGATCACCGACATCCCGTCCGAGCTCAGGAACGACACATTCGCGCAAGGCATCGAGGTAGTTGACGAACTCAACGATGTCAGAACGGATACATCACTGTCGGGTTATGCAAAAGAACGTAAAACGCGAGGAGTACAGGCATCCACTGAACCAGCCATTGGACAAAATGATCCTGCGATTCAACAACGTAGTCGCTACTTGCAGACCTATCAGTTCTTCTTCCGTATATCAAAGTTGATTATACTTAGTCTCGCACGGGTCACAGACTGGGCGTTGACTAAAGTCTCGATCAACTATCGACCAAGATGGCTACAACGCGCTGTTGGGTTCCACGTTGACCATGTTGATAAGATGTATGCTCCGCGACACTCCGATCAAGCGTTGGCAAGAGAGTCATGGCTTACCACAGATGATCGGTCTCGAATTCGCCAGGACCGGAATTTTGACGTTGAAGTCTTCGCGAAGGAGAGGCTCCGACAGAGTGGGTTCTATTCGGGACCCAATGGGGAAGATTCTGAAGAACGTCTTGACGACTACCTGTACTCCTGGTGGCGCAACGGTAGTCTATGGAATGACGTTGACAACACCAGAGACTATGTTGACTCGCAAGATGATGACACGACTAGTGTAGTGTCGTTTGCTACCACAACAGACAACGACGAGTGGTCAGACATGGACGACGGTCAAAGAACACCTACGCGGGCAACATACCAGAGAAGTCGGGAAGTAACACCCATCCCTGACGACGCAATGGACTTCTCGAGACTCTCTCAACTTCTGGATCCGAAGTCTAGTGAGGATCGTGAAGAAGCCAAGCTGCTGTCTCGCCACCTCCAGAGCTCCACTATCATGACACGCTCGCAGTACCGCAAGGCTCTTGAGCGCGAAGAGGCGAAGATTCTCACAACGTCACGCTATAAGATGAGCGGTGGCGTCAACATGACGCCTGAAGAAGAAGAGCAGCTTCTGGAAGATCTTATTCTCAGTCGTCGGAGCGCAACAGCGCCACAAGGCGCAAGCACAGCTGGAAGCTGGGACTCGGGTGCAGAAGGTATGGGATCAGAAGGACCGCAATGTGTAGTTTGCCAGATGTCGCCAAGGACAGTACTGGTGTGGCCATGTGGGTGCTTGAGCCTGTGCGACGACTGTCGGGTGGGGTTGGCTTCGAAGAACTATACGGCATGTGTATGTTGCAGGACCAATGTGGCTGCATACTCGCGTCTTTTCGTTCCTTGAAAACCTAGGGGTCTGCATAGGGCCGGCGTTGAACGTTTGTTTGCATGATCCTGTACATGATAGCACATTATACAGGAATCGATCGAAAAAAAATCTACTTCAAAGGAGTCTACATTAGCATGGGGATATCGCGAAGTTTCACTTTTGTACTAAAGTAGACGGCAGTGCACCTGTTGCTTCGGAACTTATCGGAACGAGGCCGGCTACATTCAGGTACTTAGGCCGTACCTAGGTAGTGGTGACGTTTCCACACGCCATGTGATAGCCGGCCCACTGCTGCAAACTGTTAGTATCATTTGTTCCCCCCACGTTCGTAGTTCTAAGTGGCGATCGTCATATCGATCACCGCCGACTTGGCAACGCAAACCGAGTCATCAACTGCACCCCCCGAACTCCCTTCCACTCCAACGTTACCAAACTACCCAATTTTCGCCCACGCCTACATCCTCTGACTGAGCATTTTCAACGAGCTCGGTCAACTGCCCTCACCCAAGAACCAGACCCAAAATTTTATGCAGCCAGAGCCCATCAACGCATCACAAAACGTTTCGTACCAGCAAACCTCTTTCAACACCGCCACCACCTCCCAGCATGGACAGCGCCGCAGCCTTGACTTCCAGGTCTCTCTGCAGCTTCACTCAGGTGAGGTGCGGGGAGAGTCTGGGCCACAAACCCGCGGGTTCGCACGCGATGCGACGCGTTCAGAGGCCGAGGATACTGTCGGGACCGTGGAAACAAATGGACTGAAGCGCGTCGCGTCTCCCTCACCACCCCCGAGGGACAGGATCACCGAATACGAGAATGCGCTGAAGTCTTCACCACGAAAGCCTGCTGACGGGCCCCTCTTCGAGATCGTCAAGAGCAACAAGAAGCCTAGCGATAAGAGCTCGCCCATCGCGAACCTGCCTAATGGTGTGTACAAATGCCTCGAGAACGGGCGGAACGCGAATGCACGAGTAAGAGCTGACGATGCGTAGAGGTTCTGATCCATGCTATCGCCCACCTGTCACCAAACGATCTCGCCGCCGTATCCCTTGTCTCTCGCCGCTTTCATGATGTAGTCACTACCCCACACGCCTGGCAGGTGGCATTCGGTCGCTACTTCCCTGGCCCGCACTCACTCGAAGATGCCGCCTTTCGTTTAGCCCTCGAGGGCAGTGGCTCAGTCGTGCGATCAGAGAAGAGACGCTTCACCAGGCTCACTGCGCTGGCATCGTGGAGAAGCGAGTACATTCTACGCACGAGACTGTTGCGGTCTTTGGTCAGGGGCAAGCCTGTACAGGTACCTGCGACACCGTCCCGCGCGTCTCAAATGCAGACCATCACCCCAATGATTACCTACGATGCCAAAACGTACACCATCATCAACCACTTGCAGGCCACGTTCGGAACCGGTCTGAACAAGAAGATGCCGCGCTTCATCCATGGTGCAGACGACATTGGCATGGTGACCAGCAGCGATCCGATGACAGGCAAAGTGGATCCTTGGGGACAGAGCGACCCTCACTTCTATGGCCAATTCTCAGAACGCTTTCCGGGTACCGCAGAGTGGGGTCTGGGCTCAGGAGAGGTCGTCGGGCGACCCAATGTCATGGACATATCGCAGCCATACGGCATGATCTATGGCCAGGGCTGTCCCGAGGGCTCGTGTTATTACCGCTCCCTTGAGGAGATGCGTGGTCGATTCATAGCTGAACCCACCGACTTTGCTATGCCTGAAGTTGGTATACCAAAGCTAGGCATCGACGGCGGTGCTATCTGCAGCGTTTGGATCGCCAAGTCAAACACGATCCCGACGCTTTCGGATGGCTTGATTGGCATGATGATGGGATCTGCAGCTGGCGTCGTCAGTGCCTGTAGCATCGGTACAGATGGTCTCCGCTCGTCCCGTGTACAGCGTGGGGAGCTGACTGCGCGCTGGGTTCTCAGCCCGGGAGTACCTATCATTGCCATCGCCGTCGACGAACAATACTCAACCAAGCGCTATGCTCAGAACCGCATTTGGGCGGTCGCTTTGAATGCACTTGGCGAGATCTTCTATCTCACGAAATTTCCAACTCGCAGCCAGGCCACGAAAGGCGACATTGAGCACTACTCCGAGTATCTGGGTTGGCTTACTGGCCGCACCGTCTACTGGAACTTGGTGGAGCCCAGCCGACGTACTGCGAGGCCTGACCCGTACAGCGATGCCGATGTCGACGGTAGTTATTCGCCGCGAACCTCATGGGATGGCATGTGCTTAAGCAAGGATCAGATCATCGCCGAAACCAGGGAGATCCAAGAATATCTTCGCAAGCAGCCAAAACATTTCCGAAAAGCATGCCTTGGATGGGATATGCGACGAACGCTCGAGGTTGACTTTGCTGGAGACGATGGGAATCATGCTGGAGAATCCGTAGTGGTCTTCGAATGCGGGCTTGATGAGGGAGACGTCGCCGATGTCAAACGCTTCACCCGATGTAAGATTGACGAAAAGGACAAGAGTACGAACGTCTCAAGTCGCATTTTCACGCCTCAGCCTGCGCAAGCCACATCTTTGTTCGGCGGTCCTGGCGCGGATCCTACAAAGCCTCCTCGTGGTCGCAGCTCTTCATACATCTCGACCACAAGTTCACCAGAACGAGCCAATCTGTTCGAGGAATGGAGGTGCTCAAAGCTTACATTCGGCGGGTTCAAGAGCACTCAGGTCACTACAACTGCTTTGGACGTCTCTACCTTTGCCACTTTGACCTTGTTTGAGGATCCTGCGCTTGGTTTCTCGACTGCCTCGACTGCATCCTCGCCTTACTCTTCTCCCATGTCTGTTGCAAGCCAGCCGGCCTCTCCCTCTGACATTCCTGGACAGCGCGCAAGGTTCCTTGCTGCTGGTACCAAGTCTGGCGTCGTGCTGCTTTGGGATGTCCGGGCGCCTACGTCGCGCTCGTCGGAGTACACAAATAACATTGAGCCTGTTCGCATCATCTACACCGACTCGCCAGAGATATCCTGCGTGGCTGTTACTTCACTGTATCTCGTAGCAGGTGGAAACGACGGTTTGGTGCAGGCATGGGATCCACTGGCTTCGAGCATGTCGCCCATAACAACGCTTCACTCCCGACATGCGTCGCGTGCACGTAGACAGCTTGTGCAGGCCCAAGCTTCCGTTCAAGGAGTCGGCATCAACATGTTTGCTGCTGGTGCTGTATGTCTGGATCCTGATCCGACCGTCTTGCGCGGTGCAGTGTCTCTTGGCAATCAGCTTCGATTTTGGAGTTACAGCTCATCTGCAGCCGATCAGTATAGAAGCAGTAAACGCAGGCTGCGAAGAGCCGAGCGTGGAAGTAACAATACCACAGAGCGCTTTGCCGGTACAGGCAGAGTCAACCTGAAGAACTACATTGCCAACGAACAGTTCGAGTTGGAGCGTGATAGACAAGAGCGTCACAAGCAGGCCGAGCGTTTGGCAGGCCGTTTTGGCACGGAGCTACTAAGCGAGGAGGAGGCTCTAGCATACGCTGCAATGCTTTCGCAAGAGGCTGCTGAGGCAGACGAACTACGCCGCATCGAGCGCGAGAGCAGTGCCCTTAAGAGTGAGCCTGTAACGCCAGAGACGAGCGTCCAAGACCAACCTTCATCGCCCGATACCAAGGATGACGACGAACTGGATGCCGATATCGCCGAAGCTATCCGTCTTTCTCTCAACGATAGCTCCGGAGCTGGCAGCTATGAACCCGCCTCCACACCTCCTTCTGCGTTCGAGATTCCGATCAAGTACACCAAGAGCAAGAAGTCTCCGCCATCCCGCTCCCAAAAGAGCACGCCCAGGAAGGGTAAGGCTGCTGCTGGTTCAAGTAACGAGAGCGAGATGTCAGATTTGGAGTTTGCTATGCAACTGAGTCTTGCTGAAGAGCAGAGTCGGAAGGATGCCGAAGATGCGTTTCCACCGCTCAGTCCAGCAGCTGGCAGTAAGGGTAAAGGGAGAATGTGGTAATTCACTCGGCTGACTGTTCAGCTTGTCTTAGGCGTCTTTGCTATTTACCTTTCTTTTCAGCGGTCTCACGCTTAATACGTTTGAACTATCACATTTGTTCGATTCTTCGTGCGGTACACCGATAGTCAGTATTGGCTCGGATGTACCGTTGCACCCTGATCTTCCCGGTCGGGTTTCTGTATTGGGAGGGCGGGAGCTTCTTGTACCTGCGCAAGATGAGAGCATAGTCATAGGCTATCTCCAGTAGTTTGTTGCTTTCGCTGTCGAAATTCAAACCTCAATCTATTTTGACATCCGCTCATGATCGGTACGACTGGACTTGTTGGCACTTGACCGGTTCTTCATGGCTGGCACTCAATGCGGTTAGCTTGGAGGCCTTACCGCCCAGACCCCTGACACTTCCTAGGCTCCAACCAGATTGTGTTCCTGTCTCAGACAACAGCAAGTATAGAGTGGTGTCGGATAATTTTGTTCAAAAGAGTCGGAAACGCGCGATACAATCTCAAATTCGACGCCAACCTGCAGTAGACAGAGCGCTTGGTGACTACGTCTCTTCGTAAAGTTTCATCAGCAACCCGCATCGGCATTCTAGAGACTACGAGGGCAGCTTGTGAGAGGTTCCGGTCCAGAACTCGACACCCACAGCAACTAGAGAAGAAAGTCGCAAAGGCGTGAAGGCTTACTTCCCGTCTACAGCAGCATGGCAGGTCTCTCCATCACATCAGCCCTACTTTCCCCTATCAACAAACTCCGCGGAAAATCGAATCCATACCAGAAAAAACACACCGCTCCCAAAACCCTGGCCCCGAACAGTGAATTCCTAGCCGAAGCACGTCAAGCAGCTGGCCGTGATCCCGTGACCGGAAGCCAACAGCGCACAAACGAACCCACGAGCGCCGACCTCCTAGCTGAAGCGCGCGAAGCAGCCGGTCGCAACCCCGTAACCGGCCGCCCACAGCCCGTTGTCACAGGCAAGAAAGCGAAGAAGCAGAAATTGTCGTTGGAACAACAGCAACAGGCAGCTGAAGAACAGAAAGCCGCGTTCCTGGCTTGGGCGGCAAGACATCCACAGGAGGGAGGGCGGCCGTATGAGAGCTACGAGGCTTTTGTGCAGGAGATGGTGGCGAAGCGGACGGGGAATGTGGAGCAGCGGACGGGTGCGGGATATTATGCGCCTGAGAGGAGTGTGGGGGAGTATTATTCGGGTGGAGTGAGGGATTAGGGTGGTGGTGTGAGATTGGGTTTGTTTTGTTTGTTACTGATGAGTTATGGCATGTGGTTTCCTTGTTCTAGCGAATGATGCGTAGTTTTTCATGGAAAGAGCTTTTTGGGCAGGTGCAGGTGGGGATGTCTGCGGCTGAGAGCAAACGAGGTTTGGAAGGTGCAAACGGAGGTAGATGGGGCATGTAATGGGGTTTATCGGATCGTACTTTCCTCAACTTCTCTCTCACCTGTCTCGCACGACAACGTTTTCGATATCCTTGCTAATCTACTTCCTCACACATCCTCGAAAACCACAGTCAATTGAATCCTGTCACCATGGGTTCAGTAATGCTGCAGCACCTGCCCTCAGCATGGCACGTTGATCAAGCCATCGTACGTTTCCTTCGCTCCACAACTCGACTTTACCTACTCTGCCAGATGCGACCCTCCACTACGCCCAAACTAACACCCACCAGCTCAGCGAAGAAGCCCGTATAGTCTGCCTTCGTTTTGGCGCCGACTACACACCCGAATGCATGGAGATGGACGAGATGCTATACAAGATTGTAGACGCAGTCAAAGACTGGGTCGTCATCTACGTCGTCGACAACAAGGTACTTTCCTTCCCTCCCTCCATACCTTCCCTTCTCCTTCCTTCCTCCTTCCCTCCAACTCTCCCCTCCCTACCCATCCTATCGCTTCCAAACCTCGCTAACACCCCCACCCCACCAGCAAGTCCCCGACTTCAACGCCATGTACGAAATCTACGATCCCTGCACCGTCATGTTCTTCTGGCGAAACAAGCACATGCAGGTTGACTTTGGCACGGGCAACAACAACAAGATTAATTTCCCGATTGGTACCAAGCAGGAGTTGATTGATATATTGGAGGCTGTGTATAGGGGAGCGAGCAAGGGGAAGGGGCTTGTTGTTAGTCCGAGGGATTACTCGACTAAATGGGCGTACTAGTCGGAGGGGAATGAGAGATGGGAGGAGATGGGACCGGGGAGTGTGACTCTGAGCTGTCCGACACCGAGGGAGAAGGAAGATCGAGTACGTGGGCTGAAAAGATGTGGCACGTTCTGATCAACCAGAAAACATATCATGGCTAAAGCGATGCTATGATGTATGATTTTTGTAAACTTGTTTCCTATTGTAGGCGACCAGCCTTACGTCTATTTCCCAACGGCAAAATCCCAAGTACTTGTCTCTAGCTGTACACCTTGGGCAATCGCCAGACAAGATTCTCAGACGCCATCCAACGCCATGCCATGCAAGTTAGCTCGCAAATATTGCAAATGAAGCAAGATCAATCCTCGCTGTGAACAAAGCAGAACAACGCCAGAAAGGTATGCAGCGCCCTGGCAGGAAATGTTAACAAGCCTCACTAATGCTTTGAAGAAAACAGATGCAACTTCTTCTTCTTTTTTTCTTTGCCCTCTTTCTCTTCTTTGCCGGGCTTCGTGGTACTGCTCTGTGACGGCGAAGGACTGTGTTTTTGCATATTGGAATTGAGGTTGATGGCACCCATGGCTGCTGTTGGGGGTTTTGGGCCAGCGACTCTAGGTCCGGACGGCAAGCCCCCGGCCATAGGAGGATTTGTACCAGCAGGCGGTGGTGCTGGCTTTGGGGGCTCAGGCTTCTCGAACAAATGTGCTGGGGCTATAGGCTGCGGTTGATCGATGGGTAAACGCAGACTGCGACGGTTTTGACTGAGATCACCGACTTGGCGGAGGAAGAGCTGCGGCTTCATCATGTGTGAGGTGACGAGGAACACGTCTCTCGAAGTCTTGTTTGAAACATCATAACAGGCGCGGGCCTCGGAGTAGGTTGCACCGCCGGCGACGAATACGATGACGCGTTGACGGGGCTCAGCGCTCGCAAGTCGCGATTTGGCCCATGTCGGTTTTGCGGATCGGAGGGAAGCAGGCGCAGTATTTTCCTGTGCCATGCTGGCGACATCATCAGGTGACATCTTAGTGAAGGGAAAGACGTCCTGGGGTAAGCTGCCGCGGATGTGCTCCTCTAGCATGTCCTGGAGAGCCGGGTTGAATCTTGATAGACCGTAGTCCTCAGTGTTTGGAGGTGGGGCCGCTTTCGGTGGGAAGAGTGGTGGCTGTGCATCTCTTTTCTCTTTCAGTTGCCTGGCGACTCGCGCACCAAGAAGATCAAGGTTACGAATAACGTCACCGTCAGGGGGTGGCAGTTGTGCGTGGAAGAGGAGCTTCTGGAGGTCGGCTGGTAGTATTCCGTTCTTAAAGATTACGTAGAGCGCGATAAGGCGTAGCCGGTCAGCTGGCGTGATCTCTTCGTCGTCCAATGTGCGCACAATCTGATCAGTCATGTTCTTGGGCTTACGGTAATCTTCGTCAAGACCAGTAGCAAGGCACTGGAAAGGTTAGCGACAGCCGTGACCCAACGTTGATGGGACTCACCTGTTCCACTGAAGCAAGATCTGGGAGTTTGTGCTTCTGGAAGATCTCCATGCACTTCTGCGCCATGGTGAGATGTAGCGAGTAGGCTTCCTTCATCTCCTGGAATTGGGGCAAACCAGCGATCATATCCTTGATTGCATTCAGTCCGTTCATGCCAGCAGCGTTCTGGGCGTCTTGGTTTGTGAAATGGGGGTTGTCGGCGATGAACTTTTGGAAGTCGCTGATCAGCTTGTCGAGAGTGTCCTTCATGTGCCGATGGCGGTTTTCCACCCATATCTTGTCCTTGTCGGATATCTCCATGTCTTTCTCCTCTGCCTCGGGGTCCTCTTCGTTGACAATGGTGCGGTAGGTCACCTTGTCGCTGTCTTGTATAGGCAACAGATCCATGGCCATTGCTTGGTATGTGAACTCGTGGAGGAAGGGGGCCATGAGGTCCATGGATCGGTCGGTGATGTAGAGGGCACCGCGGGGTCGGTTCGACTGCGGAGGGAAGTCTTGGTTGAACTGCGCGTACATGTCGAGCTTGTCTTGGACGAAGCGGGCGAGGTGTGAGCACAAGACGCTGGCCTCGTGGGTTGGAGCTCGCGGCCGGTAGTATCGGATGATGGGATATTCGCCGAGTGCGACACAGATTCCGGTGATCTAGGGCTGTCAGCAGAAGCTTGCCAGGAGAGGTGGACTACCCACTCTTTCCGCAATATCCTCCATGTGCCGCACTACAAGGTTGTTGCACTCGGGGTGGTAGAGGATGGGAAAGCTCCACGGGTCTTTGAAGGTGACGAGGTGCGACTCCTGGGGGTGGAAGTCGAGGTGCACTGTGCGGAAGCTCCGAATCTGCTCGCGCGCCATCTGCGACCGGTCTATGCGCTCCTTGAGGTGTGGTGGGAGCAGCGTTGTCCATATCAGAAAGAAGCCGCGGTATCTGCGCTGATCGAACTCAGCCATCATGCAGTCGACAATGTGTGGCTTGGGCGTGATGATGTACACGGCGTCCATGTCGCGGATCGTCTGCCGCCGGTCCTCGATGCGCTCGATGTCTGCGAGGTTAGGATCTGGCGTCTGAGGAGCGTGCGGAGTCGCGTACTTGTGATGTTGAGGTTGAGGATGTCATCTTCCTTGACCACGTTGTTGATGAGCTTCTGGCTGTCCTCGTCCACAATGAGTATCTTCCACTGCGCGGTAGCCGTTAGCGGAGTGCAGGCGCATTGGGGGGGAGCTTCATACGTCGCCGCGCGTCGTCTGCTTGATCGAGTTGAGAATGACTATGTGGCCTATCAGCACGTGTTCCTCTAGAGTTTCGCGGTGTCAATTTACGGTCGCGCTGGATATCGATCATGGAAGCCATGTTGGCGGGGTATCGCA